GTCGGCCGGCCTCACGATGCTAGGCGACAATTGCATCCTCTCGAAGGCCGACTGGAACAGGACGTCCATCGAGCTCCCTGTGTCGATGAGCATCCTTTTCACTTCACATCCAGCCACTACCCCCCTGATCTCCAAAGCTTCCACCGACGGAACCCGGCATGCCTCCTCTGGGGCTTCGTTGAAATGGATATGCACGGCCGCCCGGGCGCTTGCAGTGGCCGACTTCAACCGCCTACCCTCCTCCAACTTCTACCTCAGGTCAATCGTTCCGGAAATTGCCTCGATGGTCAACCTCACCCGTGTGGGGTTGGCCTCCGGTTCGACCTCGAAGGGAGGAGGCGGTAATCCCTCGCCTTCCCCAGGCGCCTCTCTCTGGGCGCGCTCAACCTCACCCTCTCGGTTGCCCTCTCGCGGCGGGGCCGCCTTCTCCTCCTGCGCCATAAAAGTGCGCTGCGCCTTCTCCTCCCCCTTTCTCACGAATTCATTCAACATTCCCCTGTCCACTAGCCCCTGTATCTCCGACTTGAGCTGATAGAAGTCGGCCGTGTGGTGCCCCCTTTCGCGGTGGAACTCACAGTACCTATCCAAGTTTTGCTCGTTCGGGCGCCCCCGCATGGGTCCCGGCCAGCGGAGGTGATACCCTTTATCTCTTGCATATTGTAGAACATTCTTTAGAGAGTCGTTGAGCTCGGTGAAGTTGACGCGCTCCGGGGCGGGAAGCGTGGGGGTTCGGGCCGTCGGGCGCCCTATGGGTAGGTCTGGGTCATCTGCGGGGCGTGGGGTGGTCGGGGGATACGGGACGCCTCCTCCTCTCCGGGGCGCACCTCCCTTCGTTCCAACCTCCTTGCGGCCAACGTCTCCTCAAGCATGATGACTTTCTGCACTCGTCGGTCCAAGTCTTCCGTTGACACGACATCACGCTTCGACAGGGCCCGGCATAACTCCTCACTGTTGGTGCATTCGTCTAAGCAGCACCCCAAGGCCGGCGGCTTGACGTCCTTGACCGCCATCGCGATCGACATCCACCGCTCATAGAAGTCCCGAAGCGCCTCCCCTTTGCGCTGCCTGATCTTAAACAGTGCACTAATCGTCAAGCTCCTGCGCTTCCGGCTAGCGAACTTCGAGAGGAACAGGGCCGCGAACTGCTCAAAGCTGTCGATCCTCCCTACGCCAACAAAGGTCGATGGGAAGGCACGGCACAACGTGGCGTCTGAGCTGTTGTATAGCTGCATTTTGTTGAAGTAGTTGTTCAGGTGATCCTCCGGGTCGGACGTGCCGTCGTAACTAGGAAGCGCTGGAATGACTGAGTTGGCTTGTTCCGCCAAGATGCTTCGCGCAAGTGGCTGCCTTACTCCCCAAGGACGCCCTAGGCGCCTGGGCGCCCCTCCGGTTGGCTCTTCGAGGTCTGGCACTCCGTGACGCGCCCAGTGCCCCGCTTCCTCCGTGCGCCTCAACGCGCTTGACATTCCTTCCTCATCTTCGTCCCTCTCTCTCTTCCTTCCGCTGAGGGGAGGCGCGGCGTCTCCACCTTTCTTGAGAGCTTCAACCTCCCTTCCCAATGCCTCTAGTGCCTGGGCTTGCTCCTCTATGATGATGATCAAATGCTCCTTGGTCAGTGTGACACCCTCTGATTGGGCCGTCTCCTGCGCCTCGTCTTCCCCTCCTTGCGCCTCCTCAGACACATGAGGCGCCCCCTCCGAGGCCGCCTCGTTATGGGCGCGACTCCCTTCCCCTGCCGCTTTTGCCGCCTCTTCCATGAGTCTCCCTTCTCTCTCTTTTTTTTTTCTTCTCCTGGTTATACCCCCCTTCCTGGCGCGCCAATTGTTTGTGCCACGTAACCTTCCTCCCTCTCGGACCTCGGCACGCTTCCGGCCTTCCGCACGCGTCCGCTCCCTGCACACACAGGCGCCCTCTGAACCCTTTGATAGGGCTCGTTAGCACTCCGACGCCCAAGTCAGTATGATCCTTTTTAGAGAGAGAAGTGGAATCTGAGTTTAGAGAGAAGTTGGAACCTGAGTAAATGAGCTCCACCCACTTCACTATTTATACTTGAGGTAGGGCCGACCAATGCCCCCCAAATCCGCCCTACGTCATCACCTCATTAAATGCACAGTACCTTACTCCCCACAGGCGCCCCGACACTCTGACACCAGCCGGCGTCATGGAGGCGTACGGCCCTACTCCTTGTCTCCTCCGTACGCTTCTGACCGTTACCCCCCCCTTTTGTCGCCATGCGCCCTACCTTAGGTCCGGTCCCACTGCTTGGGCCATGGCCTCTGGCCCTCTCTTGGGCCGCGTCCCCTCCTTGCCAGGCCCACACATCCGGCCCATGGTGACACCTTGGCCCTTTACTTGGGCCTTTCCTTGTATGCCCCCAACAGAAACCATGCGCGTCGATCTGCTACTGTTATTAAACTGTGGGGATTTCATAGACCCAACAGTGAACCCAAGTACCCAATGGTTCTAACTCGATGCCACCGCTTTAGACGCTCTATCACCGTCACCGCCACCACTTCAGCCGCTCTCGTCGCCTTCGCTCTTCACGATTTCCCTTCCTTCTCTTGCAATCGCAAGCTCGTCGACGCAAGGAGTGAGCGACGGAGTGATCTCGGGGCAAAGGAGGGGTTATAGGTATAATATGCCCCTCTACTATGTAGTTTTATCAAACATGCCCCTTTACTATATTTTACATCAAATATGCTCTTGTACTTTGGAAAAATTAGCAAACATGCCCTTCTATTAAAATTTCCATTAAAAAATCGTCAGCCATGGTTGAAACGAGATTTAGACGACCCGACATCGGCAAATGAGAAGAAAAATGCCAGTTTTGTCCCCCATTTTATTTTTCTAGGTCTCGTTAAAGTGAAATTATTAGAGGTATTTAGCTCTACAAAATAACCCAAAAAATTCTAAAGTGAAATTACCAGGGATAATTTAGATATTTGTGTCGCCCAAACCAAGGTACGACCATGGTTGGCTGTTTTTGGATGAAAATATGAACCGAAGGGCATGTTTGATCATTTTTCTTAAGTACAGGGGCATGTTTGATGTAAAAAAATAGTAGATGGGCATGTTCGATAAAACGACATAGTAGAAGGGCATATTATACCTATAACCCGGCAAAGGAGTGAGTGGCGATTGAGATTTTGTGCGTGAATGAGTGGCGACGGCTACGAATTTGGAAGAGTCGCAGGCGATCTTGCCCGCGAAAGAGTGAGCGACGACTGCGAGCAGAGAGGAGAGAGAGAGAGGTTAATCGGAGGGAGCTCGTTCAGTCTTTTATCAGCCAGGGGACCAAGAAGAGAGATTGGGAGGCAGCGGTGGGAAAATGCAGGGGCGAACGACTAGGTTTTTTAATAATAAAAAAATCATTTTTACTTTTATCTTTTTAATAGTAGAAAATGAGGTGAAAATTTTAAGAAAATAAATTTTTTAAAATTTTTATTTTTTGGGCTAATACCACTACAACACCCGAACTATCGACAAAATGCCACTTGTATCCTAAATTATTCAATATTCCATTTCTATCCTGAACTATGATACTTTGTGTCATCTGTATCCTGACAATTTCGTTGACCGTTATATCTAACGGTTGACTTGACGACGGTCAAAATTATATTGACTTTTGGTGACGTGGCATCCACGTGGATTGACATGTCATTATTTAGTTCAAAAACTAATCATAATTAAAATAAGGAAAATACAAAATTATTGGAGAAATTAAAAAAACATCGCCCCTCCGCCCCTGGTCTGCTCTCCCCGGCGATTACCCATTGTCGTCTTTAACCCCCTCCTCCTCTGAATCCTCTCTGCAAGTGGCGATTGTTTGATTGAGAAACCCGAAACCCAGATCCCATTTATTCAACTCCCATTCCCCCACCCCATCCCTTGTCCCTGTCGACCCACCATCCTTCGGTTTCCTATCTCCCTCTCCGCCTCTCTATGTCGGCGTCCCCGATGAACTGTAGGTCTCTGCGTTTGGATCGATTTGCAGGTTGCGGAGATTGGGGTCTTGGCCGCTCGTCTTTTGAAGCGAGTCTGAGAGTTAGATGGGATATTCATGGGGAGCTTACATCGCGGAGCGGAGCAAGGAGATGAGATCTGATGGCCGCCAAAAGTGGATCTGACGACCTCTCTGGCTGCAATGGTGTGGGTTGTGTAGTATGAAATTTCAGAGGAAACAATTTGGGAATGGGCCACGAGATTGTAGACCTCATCAAGGCAGGTGGTCTCAACCTAGCGGCAAAGGGAAGAGATATGGTGAAATCCGCATATGGAGCTTCAACGGAGCTTCTGCGTGTTTGGCGGCTCGATTGTAGATTTGTAGATAGAAGTGTGGGGTTTTGAACATGACCAACGAAAGCAAAGTTCGGGGCGCTGGTGAGCGGAAGGGTATGAGAATTGATGAGAAGTCCAGACAGAGACCCGCAAAAAGGAAATTGATGAACAATGGAGTGAATCTTCATCTAGTTTCCTTCTCTGAATGCATTGGCGAGAAGACACACGGTGAATCAAAGAGCGGCGGCAGAGAGGGAAGCTTCCTCCGGTCTCCTTCTCTGAATGAAAAAGCAGAGACCAGATCTGATTGCGGCGAGAGGAGGGTTCCGGCAGACGGCCGCGGGAGGAGATGTGGAGAAAGGGATTGGGGTTTTTTATTTGGTTTATTTTATTTTACATAAAAAACGTAAATAAAAAGTAATATTAAAAATTCCACATCAGATGCCATGTCAACGCTGACTGGATTTTCTGTTAAATATTGACGGTCAAACTTGGTCAACACTAACGAAAAGATAGTTCAGGATAGAAATGGAATATTGAATAATTTAGGACACAAGTGGCATTTTGTCGATAGTTCGGGTGTTGTAGTGGTATTAGCCCTATTTTTTTAATTAACGTGTCACATGTTTAACAGTCAATTATAATAGTTGACTGTCACATAAGCAAATATTAACGGAATTGGACGAAGAATAATCAAATTTGAAACATTTAACTAATTATAGTGATTATGAATGAAATTAAATAGTTAGTCGAAAGTTTATCTTATCTGCAACATGGCCCTTATATGGCCCTTTAGAAGATAAAGGTCCTCAACTCTAGGCCCATATAGAAGATGAAGGTCCTCAACTCTAGGCAGCTCCTTATCACAATCTTAAACAGCATACCACGGGAAGACGGGAAACCCATTGTCGAGAAGCGACACGGGATCATTCATGCTTATAGCAGACTACTAAATAAAACAGTAAACCATTTATACCTCCGTTGCATCTCAAAAACTCAAGTATTCAACAATCAGCACGCCCGTTAAAATGGAAAACTCCGTACCCTAGAATTCAGCTGCAGCATACCATAGGCGCAGTCCAACAAAAAAAAGACGGACTAATTCATTAGCCATTATTTTATTTTAGTCTACTTCAACAACAAACGAGTGAAGTCATCAGCCTGCCCTTAATTGACAAAAAGTGCCAGCTTCCAATCCAAACCTCAAGCGCTCTTCTTAACCGTGGCAGACTTGATGATGTCGATGAACTCAGGCTGAAAAAGAGATCAAATGGCGGAGAAGAGATGTCAGATATAAATGCCAGCAGCGGTCTAGATTTGAAGAGAACACATGCCAATATACTGGTGATATTGATAATCAATCTCACTCACCTTGAGAGAAGCTCCACCAACCAAAAATCCATCAACATCTGCTTGCCCTGCCAACTCTTTGCAGTTTCCTCCGTTCACAGAGCCTAAAGTAACCAAAATAAATTATACAAGAAGGTTTATTACAAAAGCCGTTTTCTCCTCCGATGACTTTGATGTGCAGAGAACAAATACTTGGGAGTTAGGAGAGACACTAACTGCTAGATAAGGTTAAGATAGCAAGCTAATGAAGAGTGTAATTACCTCCATAGATAATTCTAGTTGTTTGAGCTACTTCAGCACTGACATTTTCAGCAAGCCACTTCCTCAGTTCCGCATGGACCTGGGTTACAGGGAGAGATGATAGCAAGGGCATCAGATTGCTGTACTTGACATTAAAGACATCAATGCTAGTTGTTTAGAATTCTTCAAAACCCCAGAAATATCCTAATGCATTGTCTATTTATGCTATTCTTCGGACAGTGATGGAAAACCAAGTATCTTCTACTGTATGTCAATACATTAAGACAAACAAATGGAGTATGATTCAGACCAACATATCCAATAACCAACTTATGGTTATTCCATAAGTAAAGGATGCATTAAGCAACCTAAGTTTATTCCCTACTTACTTCTTGAGCCTGAGCAGGTGATGCAACCTTTCCTGTCCCGATGGCCCATACTGGCTCATAAGCCAAGACAACGTTGTCCCAACTTTTTATCTTATCTGCAGAAAATAAACAGTGGTTCAGAACAGACCATTCCAAAGATGACGAGGAAGCAGAAGGAAACACAAATGAAGCCTTCAGCTCTTCCACAACTAAATAGGCTTCTTTTCAGATGGAAAACTTCTAAAATTGTTTAAGGGACAATTATAGAGGAGATTCTACTAATACAAGATCCAAATTCCAGAAAGGAGAAACAACTATGGATGACAATCCACTAAGCACGAGGGAAAGCGGAACATGTCTGCTGCAACAACAATGCAAATACCTGCAATTGCCTTGGTTTGAGCAGCAACAACAGCCATAGTTGATCCTGACTCCCTCTGCTCAAGTGTCTCTCCTATACAAGCAATCACTTTCAACCCTTGAGAAAGTGCATATTCAACTTTGTCTCCAACAAACTGCACAAACAAGCAAGATCATGATACATTTCATAAATACAGATCCAATTGCAGTTGTCAAACAAGAGTTGCAGAGGCACGTCAGCCTATCTTCATAGGTTGATGAGCTTACCTCATTCGACTCATTCAGCAGAGCTCGTCTCTCAGAGTGACCAAGAACGACCCAAGGAATGTCCAAATTCACTAGCATCTCAGCACTGTAGTAGGAAAGGGACAAAAGTTAAAAACATAAAGAAAGAGTGAGTGAGAGAAGTAAAACATATTGGAAAAACGTCTATTGATTGCTACATAGGGAATTGAATGGCAGTGACTATCTTAAGCAGAAGATGTATCCCGTAAGAAAAACAACTGATTAATAAGTACCAAAAAATTTGACAAACAGTTTATTGATCTCATTCAATCATTGCATGCCCACCAGTCAAGACCGTCGTTCTCCCACCAATAAGACATGGATATAGTTCCACACATGTATATGTGTACCTTGGCAATCTATAATATTGGACCTCTCAACCTAAGCTGAATGTTTGAATGCTATGCATTATATTGAAGACATAAAAAGTCTACGTCTGAAGCTTGCATATAGCATCAAAAGACTCATTTCTTCTGAATGAAGACAGTGGACATCTAAGGGGCCAACGAACAACAACAGGATACATACCTAATCTCTCCAGTGAAAGCTCCACCCTTGCGAACCCAGCAATTCTGGGCAGCAACCTTGATGTCGGACCTTAGCAAACTTTTGGCCACCGGAAGGAACACGTATGGTGGGCTGACAACAACTTCTGCAAGCAAAGAACAAACCTATGAAGTTAAAACACTAGAACAACTACTGGTTTAACAAGTTTACTATCAAGTATCAGCAACAAACAACTTCTGGATCTCTATAAAAAGCTCAACATATGTGAGGCGGAAGGAATATAGTAATCCCAAAACCTATCCAGACTAGCAAAGGATGCTGCAAATAAAACACTGTATAATATATATATATTTCAGTACCGAACAAATCAAGCAAGACAAACTTAGATGCACAATTGATGTTCTCATTTATTTCCTGTCAAAATCATTAAACAGAAGTATCTTTCGATTGCTATGAACATAAACTTGATGGGTGTCTATCAAAGCTAACAGCAAGGATAAAAATGGGGGCGGGAAGGGAAAAGACTCACCGACGACATCCTCAGAGGGAATCTGAGCTTCATTCAGAACATTGACGATCTTCTTAACCTCCTCGGTTGTGCCATTCTGCAACAGGAAGAAGAAGAAGAAGAAGAAGAAGAAGAAGAAGAAGAAGAAGAAGAAGAAGAAGAAGAAGAAGAAGAAGAAGAAGAAGAAGAAGAAGAAGAAGAAGAAGAAGAAACAGAATCAGTCCCACATACAATTAAGCTCAGCGGAAACGAATACATCCATAAGATTTGATTTCGAAGATGGAACCATGGTAGAGAGAGGCAAGAAAGGAGCAGATTCAATCATACGGCAGGAAAAGAACAATCAGATCTAGACATAGGTTCAACTAAGCATGTATGAATCGGATCCGTCTCGATCCAAATCCTAAGTGTACATAGAAGGACCGCAAAGAGAAAGGAGAGAAGAAAGGGCGTATCGAGGACGAATCGATGAGGGGAACGGGGCTTACGCATTTCCAGTTGCCGCCGACGAAGAACTTTCTGGCCATTTTCGATGGAAACGAGAGCTAGATCAGAGAGAGAGAGAGAGATTGAACGGAGCAGGAAGCTTGATGGATGGGTAAAACGTTACAAGGCTAATGACTGGTGGAGTTTATAAAGGAAAAAAAGGAGAACGTGATCGAGTCTACCCACGCCCGATGGTTCGCGCTATGACAGTGGGTTTCCAGTTATGCCCTTGACTTTCCAATTGGAATATGCTTCAGAAGCAGACAAAATGGGGCAAGTACTAAGTGGAGGATCGGAGCATCTTTTTCGTGGAGGCCAAGTATGCAAACTTGCAGATGAGGAAAAAAGGGTTGATACTTGATATCATTCACGAGTCATGACCCACGCCTAGTGGTGTACAACATCACATCCCACGTATATTGTGTTTGGATAATAAGCAAATCATATTCACATCCCAATAAGAAAATTGACATAATCACAAACAATAATATTATTTGAATTTCAAAGGTTTAGTTACTGGGCAATCACTGCAGTAATAATACGCTGATATTTTTTCTCAATAAATCACAATAGTCATAATTTAATAACAATGAACTATTGTGTATAGCAGATAAATTGATGATATAGTAAGTTCACCAAATCGAGCGCAATTGTGAAACAATGTTTCGACATGTTGTTACTAGTTTCTCAGTTTTCCTGCATATTTTCGTAAAACCGACATATGTCGGGCTACAGACCGATTTGACCATATCACTTGCTAAACCAGCATAACAATATAAGCCGATTTGACAACCTTGCTCTAATCACACAATAGTATAATCAGCTAAGTCAGCTATTCAAATGACTACATGATTACCACCCATCAACATGAATCCTAAAAGTTCAACACTGCCAACTTCAGGTATAGGCAAAGCTAAGCATGGATACTAAAGTTTAAGACTATCTTCAGGCTAACACTTTACAACTTAACTGAGACCATGACAGGAGCTGAGATGAGTCAACATAGAGTAAGCATATGATCAAACAATAAAAATGAATTCAGTACATAACTAACTAAAAATGAAGCGAGACAAACAAGAAAGAACATTTGTGCCCACACCAGACTCTGGTCAACAAAAACTATTCCCAATACAGATACACAGGTACAAAATGAACCCCATACTCTGGTCAACAAGAAAGAAGACTTGTCACACCAGACTTTGGTCATCAAAAACTATCCTTCTGCTCACTTTGAAGAGCAAAGCAGCTGGTTCTATTCCTCTTCCCCCCGACCCTTAACGCGATCAAAGCTACACAAAAACATCTAAATCGCAGTCTCTAGTTTCAGCAAAGCTGCACCAAGAAAATAAAACCATCTGCAGGATCCTTACACTGCTAGCAGGTACTCCTGGAGAGTTCTAAGGATACAGTCAATATTACATTGGTGAATGAGGAGACCTCGCTAGATACTAAAATACAGACTCTAATGGGGGAGTATCATCCTCGGGAGCGAGCTGAAACAAACTCTGGAGGAGGGGATGGGAAAATGAAGTGGAAGATACCCCAAACAGCAAAAGCTACCACCGAGAGAGGGAATGTGCTTCATTTGGGATGCTTCCCTTTTGCTGTATATTCTACAGTTCTAGCCGCCAGATATGTGAAAGTAACATCCCATATTTGCCTCTCAGAATCAGGAGGCTTTTTACCTGCGACAAACGGCGTCCATGTACCTTTATTCGCATCTGCTAGGATCCATTCAACACTGTCGGGCACATTGGAAAAATTGAAGTCCAAATGAGAAGCTACTCTAGCTTCCTTTTTAGGCGTCTTGCTTTTCTGAGTACTGGAGCCCTCTGCAGACTTCAGAAAGCTTTCAAGCGTCAATAAACAAGACCATTCGAGATATATTGAGAGGGAGCTATGTTAAGAAAGGTAGGACTCGTACATTAGCATTAGCATCAGAGTTCTCTGCTCTTTTTTGCTTCTTCACGCTTCCCGTCTCCAGAAAATACTGCACCTCTCGCTTGGACCTAAACCGGCGGCGAGAGACAGGATCATAGTAGTACTGCATCAAGTAAAGAAAAGTTAATGTACTCCATCCATGTAGGAAGGGAGAAATTTGTAACCATGAAACCATGGCCATATTTAAACAACGTAAATGCCAAGACAAACAGCACTAGCATGGTTGGATATCAGCAAATTAAGTATGGTATCATCTTCTACAACACAAATTCTCTCAACATGCAATTCATTTCATGACATCATGGAAACCTTTAAATTTTTCTACCCTGGAAAAGAAACCCTAGTGTTTGTTATACTGTACTGGTTGGTATTACCAGGTAATGCTTTATCACGATATTATTAGTTTATTACAATTTTCTGTAAACCCTTAAATGGTTAGACTCACCAAATCATCTCCCATACAGTTTCAAAAAACATTCAGAAACCCATAAAGTTTCCTTTTACACCGATAAGCAAACCTAAACTTGGTTTTACAAACTATCTAATCAGAACCCTGCGTTCTTGCTTAAATGAGATATCCGCCGTCAGTCAGCAATCTGTTACAACTTCAAATAGATGGAGTTTATCCTAATCTTTATAGGAGACAATTATACCCGAAATGCACCCCGCATTAGCTTTTGACTTCCTCGTACCTTTTCGGCAGCATCAGGGCCAATCAACCCAGCAGTTAGTACAAGTCCTCACTTTTCTGTTAGTGCATCTGAGAAACTCAATGCTACTTAGGGCAAATCATGAATCTGGATCTAGAAAAACAATTGGCAATTTTATGAAGTGAACCCTTAACTAATCCTCCTTATGCTATTAAGAAAGAAGGAAATGTACACATCTGCCACAATAAAACTATAGGAGGCATACTCAGTTGCTAACTAGCACTTTATAGGGTAGTTCAGCTTTCAAAACCAAACAATATACGCATCACCATTCCAAAGATTCCGGTAAAGATGCCACCAAGATTCAGAGCATGTACATAATGCTTGATCTATAATTGGCCTGAAAAAAACATCTAAAGTGAAGGCCGAGCCCTTACTATAATTTCGAATCTTCATAAATAAATAAAAAACTCTTCATTTAACCCTAACACGTCAGTGGAACACGGACAAGAAGCTCACGGTGATCACTGATCAGGAAAGAACATGTCACCCTTAAGCAGAAGTGACAGAAAACATATCTTAGACCAGCTTATATATGGGAATCAACTAAAACATTCCCTCTAAATCTGGACTTCAAACTGTAGTCAATATTTGGAGCTTACACATTCTCCCAGGATATTGTACAGATCCTATGAGAAGAAGATCAAAATACACTGAAAAGACTTTCAAACGAGACATGATCAACCAGAAATCAATCGAGTACAAGGAATATCTCAGTTAAGATGGACAATGAAAAAGAATGAACCCATAGGAAGGTCATCAAACTGCGTTGCCTGATTCTTCCCTGCCAATCCGCAAGTGCAAGCAGCCAGCTTGTTAGCAGCCCTAAATTAGGAATGTGTTATCACTTCAATCTTAAAGGTTCCACTGCAACAATTTCCTAATCAGAGCACAAGCACATTCGAAAATCCATGCCTAATTGAACTATCGTCCTCTCCTTAATCATACAGTACGCTTTCTCATTTCACCCAGAGTCGTCGGAAAACCTAATCGAACCAAAATGAGGAACTGCTGAAACCGATTCATGCAATACTCGGCAGCTTAACAGACGAGTGAGAGCTGCAACTCCTACTGTAAATCATAATCTTAACACAGCCGCAGGGGAAGATCCAGTCGAAGGCAAATGAATATTCTGCTGGATTGACATGAGATATTTTGACACTGACCTTATCTCGCGTCCCAGCCGTCGCACCCGAACTTCTGACTCTGTCTTCCACCACCCATCCAGGGGGCAACCAGCTCGTCTCCGACACTCTCGGCCGCGATCGAGAAGATTCCGGCGTTCCGTTAGCCGAGGGGGAGCTGCGCTGCTGATTGTCGCCCGGTGGTGGAATGGCTTGGCCCCCGGAGGAGCCGGAAACGGGGGAAATGAAAGCGCCATCCCGGAGGAGCGGATCCGTCGACAGACCGGCGGGGAGATGCGGCGATCTGTCGGGTTTAGGGAGGTTCGGCTTGGTATAACGCTGGGGCGTGGCGGCTTTGGTGGTATTTGACATCGAATGCCGAGTGGAGAAATGCCATTTGCGCCAAAGGGGTTCTTTACTTTTAAATTTCTTACCGTCGCCTCAACTGCATTTTGTGTCAGGTGCGTTTGGATATAATGATTTGGATTTGGTATTTGTGATTTGGATTTCCAAATACCAAATCATGTGTTTGGATATTAATTACATTTGGTATTTGGATTTGTGTCAAATTCATGGGGTGATTTCCAAATACACGTCTAGTGTATTTTTTGTCAACTTCAAATACATTTCAACAACTAGTGATTTGAAATACCTCATAACAAAAAATTGGACCTATTTGTAAAATATGAAAAGTTTAGGTACTATAGTGTGAGGAAAAACATATAAAGGTACCAAAATGTAATTTTACCATCAAAATTTCAGGACCTTTTTGTAAAATTTTAAAATTTTAGGTACTAAATTGTAAGAAAAAATAAATTTGGGTACCAAGCTGTAATTTACCAAAATTTGTAGTAAGTGACCAGAAATTTAAAAATTCAAATTGAAAATCGTAAAATACAAAATACAAACAAAATACAAATGAGTATCCAAACAATGAATTTGAATTACATGTATTTCAAATGCTAATATTTCAAATACATTCATTTCAAATGCTAGTATTTCAAATACCTTACATTTAAAATACACTTATCCAAACGCACCATAACGGAATTTCGCAAGAAGCCAATTAACCATTTTATTAATTACAGTTACACTTATACCGGGGAGATTATTAGTTGTCATCTGTGGAATGAAGATTATATCTAACTATATTTATAGCCCTTTGAAGAAAAGGAAATTTAATGATTAAAATTCATTTAAGTTGAACTTGCGAAAATTACTATAACTATAACTATAAACACCAACCCTAATCTATTTTCTATCTCACCCCAAACCAAAGTGGCCAAACCGGTTTATACGATTTGGCAACAGGTATGGTCCGACCAGTGGTACAACAAGTTATGTCAGTTTTATCAGAACTTGTATCTTTTGTAGGAACTACTCGTAATAACATACTTGCAAAATGAATATGTTTACTATAAAGAGATTCGTACTCGACTAGCTGCTGCTGAGATTTCTCGGCCAACGCTGTCGAGTGCACTCGGCCGGCTGCTGTCGAGATTGTTCCTGGCCCTGCTTAACCTTAATTGTTATTTGAACAAGTAAAAGTTATGTCTTGATCCGAGTGGGAATAATCTTTCTCTTCTACAAGTTCATGAAGTTTTGAAAAAACCAAACATCTCAGAGATAAATAGAGAGGTAGGAATTGTCGAACGAACAACACTCTTTCATATACGTTAGGAGACCATTGATGATAAGAGGCTGGACAAAGTTTGAAGAAAGTTGAAAATCGTTAACACTAAATAAGTTTATGCACATGTATAAGATACTTGAAGGCGGAGATGATGGTGGAGACAATGGCGGGAGGAGGGAGGGAAGCATTGATTCTGAGCATTTGTTTAGAGGAGTCAATCTGGAGCAAATCCAGTTGAGATTACAGTAGAGTCGGAGACATAAAGTGGGTGCCCTCCTGAGGAATCAACGACGTCGTCTCACTTGCAGGGGAATTGTCAGAGATTGAGAAGGGACGAGGAAGGAGAGTCTGGTTTGCAGCCAAATTGAGATTTAATTAGGGGCAAATAGGTAACTTACGTATTAGAGTGAGGATGATTGTTAGTAACTTTAGGATGAGCTTTAGCTAATAGGTTGATTAATGTGGTGTTTACTTAGGAGATTTATGTTCTTAGAATTTCTTAGTAGTACTATGTGCGTATTTATTTGATTGATTGTTGTCAAAAAAATCAGAGGCATAGGTTTAGCCAAACCAACGTTAAAATTATCTTTTGTTCTCTCTTTCTCACTTTTAATTCTGCGTTCCTTTTATAGATCTGCCAATTCTTGCTTTATTCCTCATCACGCGCTAATCAATATTCTACGATGACACCTCCGCCCTCCACTATTATGGTAGCAAGCGATTATAATGCTAGTGGGTCCCAAAATATAGCATCTAACCCATTGGATTTTATTAATGTATGCCCTTGAAAAAGTTGTAATTACAAAGTGTGTAAAGTAGTGGACCAAATATTGCAAGTTTAGTAATTGGCTCAATAACTTTATGTTTATCAACATAAGAGCAAGTTAGTAACCAAGTTTTCTTTATTGGGCCTATTTTTGTTGAATTGCCATTCCTTGCGAAATTTTGTTTTTGGGCCTAAACTAAAGTAATGGCTTGCTGTTTTTGTCATACTATCTGAGCCCATCTCTCTATCTCTGAAGTTTCTCCCGAACAATATTACCTTCATTATCATTCCATTTTAATTTATTTAACGCCCCAACTTTTTAAAATTTCCGCCCTAAATTAACCAAACAAACCATTCTACCTTAGGTCACCCAATTCGTGTATTTGGACCGGATGTTCCCGCTTTGGAGCGCATAAACGTGTTTTACCTAGGTTCCGCAGCAAATTCGCGAATTATATAATTTGGAAGCGCAAATTATAAAAGTGAGATCGTGAATTATCTAAATCATGAACATACAAGCTACAAATTGAAATTGAAAGCATTAAACACCCCAGATTCCACCGCCCTAGTTGCTAGCGTGGTTGTTGCCATCAAAATCTCATATCTACTATCTTCTGTACATGCAAAATACCTTTTCCCTTCACGAATCCCCCCCCCCCCCTCAATTCAAAGGGGCCGTTTGGAAGTTATGATTCTAGATGAATGATTCTTTGAATTTATGTATTATGGAGAATCCATCGTTTTTTGTTTCAAAACTTTATTCAATACATGCATTTGAGGTGGGACCTCAAATCTCATATCACCCACAATCACTCATTTTAAATCTCAACAAAAAGGTGAGATTCTTCCTTTGAGATTGTGATATTTAATTTGTTCCACTTTTAGCTCATAAAGTTATTTTTTCTTTTCTTTAAATTTTTTGAATGACTACAACCAAACAAGACAGAATTCTTCCAATCATCTAATTCTTACAATCTTTGTATTTACAATAGATGTATTCATCAAATACACATATTTGAAGAATCTCAACTTCCAAACGATCCCAAAGATATGTTCTTATGATCGAGCTCAATAACATTGTGCATGTGGTGGGATGATTCAGGTCTAATTGCACATATTTTGCCCCCGATTTGCTTAGATGTTTGTGCCAAATTTGATCATTAGAGGTTGGTTTTACGTGAGGTTCTTCGTGTTTGAGTCCTTTTCAGGATTTAACAGGTGGAACCAGCCTCGGAGTCGAAAGATTGGCAAAATGGATCCAAAACCCGGAGAAGAGGTGAAAAAACGCATGTTCACGGCTAAAGGTAGGAGTTCACGGTCGTGCAAGACCATGAAGAAGGAGAGTTGACCGTGAAGTGCAAGGCGTCCAGAGCCAAGTTGAAGGTTACTGACGCAAGGCGTGAGTTCACGGACGCGTTTGATGGTTCATGGCCGTGAACTCAGGCTGTGAACTCAGCTCTTCTCGGGTTTAAAAGCTGAGCTGCAAGGAAAGAGAAGGGGAGAGCCACTTTTGTGAGAGAAACACCTTCTTCTGCATTTTAGTGAGAGAAACAGAACCAAAGAGAAGAAGAGGTTAGGGCTTGGCTTCAAAGGAGGTTTTGGGAAGATATCCCCAAGGAAATCCCAGCTCAAGGTTGAAGAAGAGAGGAGGCATCCCCAAAAGATGGTTTCCACCTTTTTCCCCTTTGTTCTTCCCACTTCTTCCATGGAGTAGTCCTCCTCCCACTTGGGTGTAGTGAAACCCTAAACCCTACTATGTAGTTTTCTTGTATGTGGTTTGGACGATTGATATTGGGCATTGTTCAATTTAATGTTTGAGGTATTTTTCACCATGATTTTGCATGTTTTTGCTTACCAACTTAGGAGTTGTGTATATTTTGTGCTTAGCATCCTAGGGATTGTGCATAATTGTGCTTAGCACCCCCTAAGTTTGTGCATTTAGGTGCTAGTAATCTAATCTGCCAACTTAGCCTAGTTTAGAGAGGAAAATCCCCCTTTCTAAGGGAGACTCAATCAAGTTGGTTTTCCTTCCGCTTTCCAAGCCACCTAAACTAGGTTGAATTAGGGCAATCCTCGATATTGAATTGAACAAGTCAATTAATTGTGGTTAAACCGTCAGACCTTAGAGTTGAGTGAGGAAGTAAGCCGATTACCGATTGTCTAAACCGAGAGGGTCGAGTGACACGACCTTTCATCCTCACCCCGGTTTAGTAATCGAGACTGTGGTCTCCGATCACATACGCTTTCCTCTACGGTTCATGATTAACGTGCCCAAGGCAATCGTTCCATCCCACGTAGCATGGAAGCGGTTAGGGGGAAGCGAAACCCAAGTGACTTTCCCACAAAAGAGTTTTCAAACCAAAGTACCTTTGTTTTCTTTCATTTCAATTGGCAAACCTTTAAACCAAATTTTTATCGCTAGATAATGATTTTAACAACCGAAGTAGGGGTAAACGGACCGACGCGGGTCGATATATAGATACTTGCCCTATACTACACCCGATTAGAGCTTAAAAACTTGGGCTCTAATTGGGGTTTAATTGTGGTGTAGTTTCGTGTGAGTCAAGTTTTTGGCGCCGTTGCCGGGGACTACGGTCTGTTATTCTGAAAAAGTTTTTGGTTGTTAATCTAGCTTTTAATTTCAAGTTTTGCAAGTGTGTGTGTTCTTTGCTTGTGTTAGACTTGGTGTTTTTCGATTGTGTGTAGGAGGTGTATTACTCGGAGCAACCCGGCGCCCTTTCTACCACTTGACGAGGACATAAACCAAACCCTCTGACTCCTAGCAAGGGAGAGAGAGCTAGCTGAGGCAAGGTGAAGGAGTGAAAGAGGGGGACAATAATTGGGTCCCGGTGTTAGTGGAGAAGTAGTTGAAGAAGTGGAAGTTGAGCCCGTCATTGAAGAGGAAATGGCGAGGAACCAAAGGCAAGATGGAGCCGCTCAAGCCCGCCATATGAATGAGGAGGCGGGAGAAGA